TATGGCCTACACACACACACACTCACACACACACACACACACACACACACACACAAATCTTGCTAAAGTTAAAAATTAATAGCGTCATCTAAAAAACATCTTTATTTGATATATTGGTTTTAAAAATATCGAAATTTATATATAGGTAACAAAATAAAAGACCCAAACTTTGTATTTAAACTGCTTCCTTAGGAAAGTTATATACTTTTTCCCAAGTTAAAATCCTATTAAATCCACAACTATTCCATTATTTAAATAATTGATGTTTTTACTATGAACAGGTTGAAACCTGTATGTCATTTTTAGACTAGACTCGATCTAGTCTAAAATAATATGTTAGGAAATGAGAAAGTTAAGAGAAATTGAATAAATGCTACAAAAATAAATATCTTGAATTCATAAAGTGGATTAAATTGATTGAAGGATTATTTTGTTTTTATTATATATAAAATATTATTTTTCACTTTTAAATATCTTACTCATATAGTATTTGAATAGAGTATGTTAATATTCTCTGATAATTTTCACCTGAATTTTTGAAATCATGTTGTTTTTGACTTCTAAATGCAAATTAGAACTTATAAATGAAGATAAAGCAATATGCCTGCTTTGTCAGATAAGCTCTAAAATTTTAGATCCTTCTAAATTTATAAGAAAGTGATATATGCTGACTCTGTTGTGAAATATTGCACAAATTGTAGGTTAATTTCAGCTAGGGATTTGGCTGTAATTGGGTAGAAAAATTTCTCCCACGTAAACATTTTGACCTACATTAAATATTGCACTTTTGTGCTTTAAAAAGTCAGATCAGCTTCCTTCAGTTTTTTTTTTAACTTAGCTTTTAAAGTTGTCAACTTCATGCTACATTTTAAAAATAAATGTTAGCATATTTAAATTTCTACTGAGATCAGTTTTGTGGCACACTTCCTCAGGATTTTTGTATCATTTGAATTTTATGAAATTTTAAAAAGTAATAAAATATACTCACAGCTATTTCCTAGCACCCAGCAGCAAATAACATAAAAATAAACATTTTATAAACAATATTTTGACCTTACAATTGTGAGAACACTGTAATTATGAAACTATTATTAATCAGTGGCATGCTTTCAGTACAACCCAAGTAGAAGTTAGAAGGAAATAGAAGTTTAGTTGTACAGGTGAAAAATAAGATGACTATTCGAGTTAACAAGAGTATTCTTAGTTTGCAGTAGGCTTTAAATACAGCTGCTGGAAGTATTTAATGTTTCTTAGTCCACATATGCATATGAAAGAAAGTATGTAATTTAAGCAAAAAAAAAAAAGTCTATAAAACCTATTCATAGCCTTATGGTTATGTAATCTCTTTGAAAATACAAGATATCAGAAATATGAGAAGAAAGTTCTCAGAAAAATTCAAATAGCAGTGGACATCCATTAAGGTTAGTCTACGTTAGAAGTAAATGAAGTATAAAATATAGTCAATTAGCTGTGCAATTTAAGATAGAAAATTCACTATTGCCTCAATTATGCAGCAGAGGATCTGGATAACATCTATAGGTTTAAGCCTGGTAGTAATACGTTTAATGATGGCTTAGCCACCAAAATGGTCTTTGTAAATGAAGAAAATGCAAATGAAAACCTATAGGCCATAAAAGGGAAGTCATAGGTTAAAACAAAGCAAGCCTCTGTATGAAGATTTTTAAGCCCTGGTCCATTGATAGAATTCAAAGAGTGCCATGACCTTTAATGAGGACAAAACATTGCTTCTTTGTTTTCACTAACCTCTAATGGAAATCGAGCATTCCCTTCCATTTTGAATATAGGCAACAAACCAGAGTAATACTAGCATTACCTGTAAAATCACAGATATTTTCATATTAGAATTTCTACAGATATCCCAAAATATTGTTCATGCTTATCACTACTTCAAAACTGCAGTAGTTATTGGACCTGCCACAAGATTTTATTAATGTGTTATTAGTAAACAAGCACATGTATTAGACTCACACATGTGCTTTTCTAATAGTTTTTTAACTGTATTTCAATACAGTTGGCTTCCTTTGGAGTCCTATGTATATTATATTCTGGACTTTAAAATGTTATTCCGAGAAGGAGTCCCAGGCTTTACCAGATTGCCAGTGGGGTCCTTGGCATAAAAGTGATCTTAACTATTTCTAGCCAGCTGTTTTGTCTGCTCAGTCCTATTCTTGCGTTCTGTGGTTTCGGTACTTTTGATGGTGCAGTTGCCATCTTCATACACTCCTTTTTTTCTGGAGAATTCTAGTAGGTGTACCAGTCAAGAGAATGTGGGTAGGCAGGCCTTATGTTGAATTGCTGACAATATAAGAAAGGGTATTTTATTTAGAATAATGTCAGTTGACAAAAGATTGAATAGAAGAGAAAAGCAAGGTGATGGGAACTGGAATCTGTAAATTGAGGAATCTCTGAATCATAACCCATAGCAATAAAAAATGATCTCAAGAGATTATCTCTCCTCTTCCCTTTAGACAGATGTGCTATTGCATCCTCCATTTCACAGATATGGCAGTTATTGTATTAACATATATCGAGGAATAACAGTTTTAATTTAAATGTTACATGATTGAGAATATTGCTTGACATTTTTCCCAACATTTTTAGTGAACAATATCAAACATCTAGAAAAGTTGAAAAAAGTAACATAATTAATACCCATATATCCTCCTGTCCTTCTCCTAATTTCCTAGATTCAACAATTAAGATTTTATCATATACGCTTTTTCTTCCTAGTTATTATTCCCATTTGAATCTTTCTCTTCCTTCCTCTCCCTACTTCCCTCATGTCTGCCTTTCTCTAACACAGGAAATAACACATATACAATTTTTTTTTTGTTTTAACATTTTCAAGTAAGTTATAAACACTCTTATACTTCATCCCTAAATACTTCAGTATGCATCTTCTTAGAATAGCAGCATTCCATATATAACCAAATTGTTTATCATGCTCAAGAAAGCTAAACATAATACTATAGTATTACTTAATATCCTGCCCATATCCAAATTTCTCCAATAGTTCAAAAATGTCTTTTATGTCTTTTTTAAACTTTTTTTTATACCTATATCCCATTATATTTCATGCACTGTATTTGGTTTTGTAGGGGAGTAAAAAAGTTTTTTCTCTACCATCTCAGGTTTAGTTTCAGAGCCTGCAAGTTGAACTGACAAAAAAACACATTAATAGGAGAAAAGCCATACAAATTTTATCTGATGTTAATATTTTTGTGTGGCATGAGGGGCTTCATGGAATAGAAGTGTGAACCTCAGCGAAGTGGTAGGCCTTAGAGCTTACATGCCATTTTAACAAATAGCAATAAACCGTAGGGAAGGAACAAGACCAAGGAAGAGAAGTTTGAGCTTCTAGGGGTGATGTACTGTGGGAAGATAAATATGGTATATGGGAAAACTGATGGAATATAAGGGATATTTCAGTAAGATTTCTTCATGCAGATTCAAGGCAATGCTCTCTGTAGTGATAAAAGTAGTCTCCTATTCATGGTACAGGAAAGGGTGGAACGGGTTACCTTCACAAAGAGAAATTTATACCCTGCCCTTAGATAGAAAGAAGGAGTAGTAAAGAATTTTCCTATATTTGCTGTTGCTCAGTTGCCTTCAGCTCAAAATAATCCTTATGCCAAAGTGGCATATTTTGGAGTAGCATTTTCTGATCCCCTTCGGTTATTATGTTTCTTCAGTCCCTTTTATTGTAAAATAGCCCTCACACCTCCTTTTATTTTGTACTGATACTGACATTTGAAAGAGTCCAATATCCTCAAAAAAATTTAATCTCAACTTTCTGGATTTATCTTATATTTTTCTTTCATGGTATCCTTTAACTTGTTCTCTCTATTCTCTATATTTCTTGTAAGCTGGAGGTTGGGTGTAGATGAGACTTTAAAATGCAAGTCAAGTGTTTTTGGCAAGAATACTTCATATAGGACACTGTGTACTTCATATCACATCAGGAGATGCATAATATGAGGTAGTCACACT